GGACCAATTAGTTCTTTTATATCGAATAAAACTCAGCTAGCCCTTGTCAGCAGTCCTGTAATACGGGTGTGCTTCGTGATATAGCTGTAAATTCCACTGAGACTCAGTTGTTTATCAGGGGCTGACGCTACAGCTTGCACAATAATTTGGGTGTAATTATAGGGCGCTTAGATCCTGCTATTATAAGCAACTTACCTGTTTAACGACAGATTGTGTCGAATAGAGTTCTGCCAGCCTTTGTCAGCCGTCCTATAATACGGGTAGTGCTTCGTGATATAGCTGTATATTCCACTGAGAGTCAGCTGTTTATCAGGGGCTGAAGCTGCAGCTTGTACGATCAGCTGAACGAAGCAGTAGGGGGCTCAAATCTTGCTATTATAAGCATATTACCTGTTTAACGACAAATTGTGTCGAATAGAATTCTGCCAGCCTTTGTCGGCCGTCCTATAATACGGGTAGTGCTTCGTGATATAGCTGTATATTCCGCTTAGAGTCAGCTGTTTATCAGGGGCTGAAGCTACAGCTTGCACGATCAACTTCGCGTAGCTCTAAACCTGTTTTTATAAGCATCTTACCTGTTTAGCGACAGATTGTGTCGAATAGAATTCTGCCAGCCTTTGTCAGCCGTCCTATAATACGGGTAGTGCTTCGTGATATAGCTGTATATCCCACTCAAAGTCAGCTGTTTATCAGGGGCTGAAGCGACAGCTTGCACGATCAGCTGAGCGTAACTGTAGGGGGCTCAAATCCTGCTATTCTAAGCATCTTACCTGTTTAGCGACAGATTGTGTCGATATAAGTTTTTAGGTTTTCACGGTTGTTCACAACACTAAAATTATTGTTTAAAACAGGATTATTACCGTGATAATATTTTTGTTGATCCCGATATTTCGGGGCGGTTGCACGCCCCATCTACTCGTGACCATGGGGCGTGCAAACGCCCCGAAATATCGGGATCAACAAAAATATTATCACGGTAATAATCCTGTTTTAAACAATAATTTTAGATTGTGTCGAATAGAATTCTGCCAGCCTTTATCAGCCGTCCTACGGTAAGGATAATGTTTCGTAATAAACCTGTATATCCCACTCAGAGTCGGCTGTTTATCAGGGGCTGCAGCTACAGCTTGTACAATCAGCTGTACGTAGCTGTAGGGCGTTCGAATCCTGATATTATAAGCATCTTACCTGTTTAACGACAGATTGTGTCGAATAGAATTCTGCCAGCCTTTGTCGGCCGTCCTATAGTACGGGTAGTGCTTCGTGATATAGCTGTATATGCCACTGAGAGTCAGCTGTTTATCAGGGGCTGACGCTACAGCCTAGACCATAAGTTCTGTGTAGCTCAAAACCTGTTTTTATAAGCATCTTACCTGTTTAGCGACAGATTGTGTCGGATAGAATTCTGCCAGCCTTTGTCGGCCGTCCTGTAATACGGGTAATGCTTCGTGATATAGCTGTATATTCCACTGAGAGTCAGCTGTTTATCAGGGGCTGAAGCTACAGCTTGCACGATCAGCTGAGCGTAGCTGTAGGGCGATTGAAAACCTGTTATAATGATTGGCATACCTGTTTAGCGACAGATTGTGTCGAATAGAATTCTGCCAGCCCTTGTCAGCGGTCCTATAATACGGATAATGCTTCGTGATATAGCTGTATATTCCACTGAGAGTCAGCTGTTTATCAGGAGCTGAAGCTACAGCTTGCACGATCAGCTGAGCGTAGCTGTAGGGCGATTGAAAACCTGTTATAATGATTGGCATACCTGTTTAGCGACAGATTGTGTCGAATAGAATTCTGCCAGCCCTTGTCAGCGGTCCTATAATACGGATAATGCTTCGTGATATAGCTGTATATTCCACTGAGAGTCAGCTGTTTATCAGGAGCTGAAGCTACAGCTTGCACGATCAGCTGAGCGTAGCTGTAGGGCGGTTTAGCGTCGTCTCTTGAGTCGCGTGAGTCGCGCGCGTCGCGGGATTCGCGTGTGCTGCTGTAGCCTGATTCTGAGGTTGATGAGGCCTGAAAGTAAGTAAAATTGATGATTAGTTACAAGTCAAGAGCGTAGTAATCTTGAACTAACTTTGAACCAACGCTCGTACGTATGGTATTACAATAAAAAGACTTAAACGGATTTAAGTTGTGTTTTATTTGGGTTTTAAGAGAATCGTGAGTCTGGATTTTTTCATACAAACGATGTTACCGTATCCCTCAGCCAATTCGCAACCGATCAAAACAATTTTTGGCACGATAACTCTTCTTGACTAGATCTATGCCTAATATTCATTTTCTGGTTGGAATAATGCATTAAAAAAAAGATATGACCTTCGCAAAATGTCTCAAAATAATCAGCAAGTTTAGGCCCTGGTATCTTCTTAATATGACAATAATTTCAGCAAAACAGATGATACGGGCATAGAATATTTTATTGGCAGCAAAATGATGCTACTATCAACAAATTTGGTGGAGATTTCGAACGGGGAACCTAGTAAACCCAGAACGCAAATTTTATACACGTTTCCGGTACCCAGCTACAACTGTCTCTTTCATGGCTGCGGGGTGAGGGCAGGAAGGGGGTGGCGATACAGATTGACCATCTGGCCCTCATTTAGCAAGTATACAAGGTCTCAATAATACCGAGTCTTTTATTTTTTACTTTGTTTTGATATGTTTTAAATTCAATAATTCATAAGTGAAAATAAGAAATAGATAAAATGACATGCATCGACCGGGGATCGAACCCGGGCCGCATGGGTAAACGCCCCACCACCGCTCTGCCACTGAGCTATCGATGCAAGGCCGATGAACGCCAAATTATCTATCTCTTGATGCTCGTCTCCAAGCGACGATCCAGCGACATCTGTAGAAAGTATTTAGAACTTACTACATGGTTAGTCCACATTATGAGTGGAATTCAAACCATATGATGAAGCTTGCTTAATCAATCTATTGGGATTGTAATGCACTCACAGTGCTATATTATTCTCACAAGTGAAAATAAGAAATAGATAAAATGACATGCATCGACCGGGGATCGAACCCGGGCCGCATGGGTAAATTCATGTCTACGTAGATATTTTCTACTTCTTGAACACTAGTCAAACTTTAATGTGTAGTTTATTTTTGTACAATTTACATATGTAAATTAACATAGACACCAAACCACCAAAAGATAGGCTAAATAATGGATCATAAAATAACTCGTAGTACTAATTGAGTAGCTTTACTTCAGTTACCTAATTATTTATTTGGACTTGAATGAAGGTAGGTACGAACATATGTAAGTACTACAACGACCAATACAATACAACATATTTGCAATATAAATCACAATTTAGCGGTAAAAGTTTTAATTGCACCATAGTAAAGAGCAATATAAATCAGAAATTTTACTGCATGGATAAAGAAAATAAACCAATGATTACCACAGAGGCGGTTTTATTGCTAAATGTAGGTAGTTATTACAAGTTATTTTTACCAGGTATAGTATAGTTAATTTACAAGGTACTGCTTACCCTATGTGGCGTATAGCAGATATTGGTATGACATTAGATGCGATTTGATTTATATCAGCTATTTCGACCGATTAAGGTATGGCAAAATAGCTCACATGGTCATATGCGAGACTTTGAAACAAAGAGAGTGGAGTTCAATTCCTGCTAATGCCAATACATATTTTGTTTTCTTTCAAAGTTTTGTATATTTTTTTTGCATCTTTTATCATCCTTATAAAATGTGTCATGCATGATCATGAATGCACAAAATGTTTTATCATTATTTGTAACAAAATAGGCAGAGTAAGGGAGGAGTTTCAGATTTGTTTCAACAAGGAGTTTGGCCTTATCACACTAGCAGTTTGAGAGCGGATGCGGAGCGGAGCAGGTGCGCAGCAAATTCTTTGTGAATGCGTGGCAGATGTGCAGCGAATTCGCACCACCGACGCGCGACGTAGCTGCGTAGGCGCGGCGGATACGCAGTGAATTTCTCGCGGACGTGCGGCGGATACCGTCGTTATTTGTATCAAAACAATGCAAATCCATTCGCTACGCATCCGCCGCACGTATGCTACGAATTTGGTGCGCGTACGCTCCGCTCAGCATCCGCTCCGAAAACGCTAGTGTTATAGGCTCTTATGTCTTGGAAAGTGTCTTGGGTGCGGTGCGTGGGTATTTTGTTTTGTTTCTTCGATCAAAAAATGACGGGAAATGTCAGATAGAAAAAACTATTTGATCCATTTTTTGATTTTTTCACAAGTTGGCAAAAGTATGGATAGGACTTTTTATTTGGGAAACCTATAAAAAACAGACATTTATGGTGTAAAAAAATTAACAGGATATATTTTGATGGGTTGAGTTCAGTTCATAAAACTGAGCAACTTTTCCCAAGAGACTCAGACCAAGAAAAGTAAAATGAAATACTTTGGACCTCTCATGCTTACAATGGCATGTAATTAAATTAGTCGTAAGTATATGTATGCGTTCACCTTTTTTTCAAGGTTATGTTTTTCGAGAGAATGTATGTATGTTTGTATGTATGTTTGTATGTATGTTTGTATGTATATCACAAGTGAAAATAAGAAATAGATAAAATGACATGCATCAACCGGGGATCGAACCCGGGCCGCATGGGTAAACGCCCCACCGCTCTGCCACTGAGCTATCGATGCACGGCTGATGAACGCCAAATTATCTATCTCTTGATGCTCGTCTCCAAGCGACGATCCAGCAACATCTGTAGAAAGTATTTAGAACTTACTACATGGTTAGTCCACATTATGAGTGGAATTCAAACCATATGATGAAGCTTGCTTAATCAATTGGGATTTTAATGCACTCACAGTGCTATATTATTCTCACAAGTGAAAATAAGAAATAGATAAAATGACATGCATCAACCGGGGATCGAACCCGGGCCGCATGGGTAAACGCCCCACCGCTCTGCCACTGAGCTATCGATGCACTTGATGACATCAAGAGATAGATAATTTGGCGTTCATCAGCCGTGCATCGATAGCTCAGTGGCAGAGCGGTGGGGCGTTTACCCATGCGGCCCGGGTTCGATCCCCGGTTGATGCATGTCATTTTATCTATTTCTTATTTTCACTTGTGAGAATAATATAGCACTGTGAGTGCATTACAATCCCAATAGATTGTATGTATATGTATGTATGTGGACAAGAAAATTCTTTTTTACGGGCTACATACAGCCCAATCGGATAGTTGGATTTTGACATATGAGTTGTCGTTAGATTCGTCTTAGCAGCGCGAGTGACACTGGCTATATTAAGAAATTATAGATTTAAGATGGCGGATTTTATACAGCAAAATACTACTTTAAAATTACCCCAGTCGGGTTTTTGTTGTTTAACACATCTACATTAGACATTCATACCAAAATAAACATATGTCTCAGATAATGTGATCCGTACAAAAAGGTAAAGTTGCAAAGCGTCTTGATTTTTCTGATCGGAAGTGTAGTTTTCGTTTAGTTTTGATTCGCTGGCAACATTGTCTGTCTGTCTGTCTGGACGCGTCTGAGTGGATCCAAATTTTATTTATTTATGCGCCTATGTTTCTTAGGGAAAGTTGTTTATTTTCGTGGACTGATTCACCCCTTAAAATATTTGTAGTTCATTTTTAGACACCTTATTTCCATCCTGAAAAAAATTCCGGTAATTATAATCCAAAAATAAAGTCTTATCCATACTTTTCCAACACTAAGTCTAGTAGATTTTTAGGGTGCCGTAACCAAAGGGTCGAAACGGATCCCTGTTACTGAGACTTCGCTGTCTGTCCGTCTGTCAGCAGGCACTATCTAATAAATGGTTATAGGTAGAGAGTCGCAAATTTCACAGACGATGAATTTCTGTTGCCGCTATATACCGGGAGTAACAGAAAGGGTATTACAAGCCGAAAGGAGGTGAAGGTACTCATGAAACTGAACAACTTTCCCCATGGAACATGTGTCGAAATATGAAAAAAGAATTTGGACCTCCCATACAAAATCGCCGATCAGCTGACTGATTTACTATGGGAGGTCCAAATTTTTTTTTTTCATATTTCGACCCATGTTCCATGAAGAAAGTTGTTCAGTTTCATGAGTACCTTCACCTCCTTTCGGCTTGTAATACCCTTTCTGTTACTCCCTGTATAACAACAAATACTGAACATTTGATACAAATAAAAATACAACCAGCCATACAAAAAACGGGATTATTATGCTCGATTTTATCTATGATGGTTCAAATGCTGTATCTCATGAACAGTAACAGTTAGACAGTTGAAATTCTCACAACCATGTATGACTAATATTACTATTGCCCTATGACAACAAAAACTAAAAAATTGAGGAGCTCCCATACAACAAATGTGATATAAATGCTTTTTTAAACACAATGGTACGGGACCCTTCGTTTACGAGTCCGACTCGCACTTGTCCGATTTTTGAGAATCTGAAACGTCATCCATCAGAGTGATTAGTTTAGATAATAATTGTACCCATTAGGATTTCTAATATTGCAAATATAATCAAGAAATATCTCACACTCTGTCTACCCTGCAAGGGACGTAGGCGTAATGTGTGTAAAAAAAAAGGCAAAGAAAAAACTGATTTTTGTATAAAACGACCCGTCGTCGTCGTGACTCGAAACCTGTACTCTCAATAAACCGTTGATCCCAGGGGGAGCGGCTTACATTTTACGCCACGCAGTTACTTGCACTTAGTGGTCAATTTTGTGAATGGTCGCAAAACGTAAATGTCATTGATCATATACAATGAGGGCAAGGGGGTAGCGGGAGGGTCCACAGCGGGGCGGGAGGGATGCATAAATGAAATAGAAATATTTTTATTAACTGACAGTTCGCGAACTTTCAGGTTGCTATTGTAAAGTCTTAAACCAAACGTTTCTCAACGTATGGTATGTTGTCTAAAGCTACTCGTACTAATTAACGCGTACGACACTGAGTATATTTGAGTAGCATTGTATGTATTTCAGAGTTCCACTCACTGTGTTGTCGTGTGTAAGTATTTCAAAGTTTCTCTGCGAGTTAGCCGAGTCGCAGTTTTAGATTAGCTAAGTACAATGGTAATTAAAAACTTTCTCTGGTGTGTCTAACAGATTGCCGTGCGTGTTTAATGAAAGCTCGTCTGTTTTACTTCAAGACTCCTTGAAGTTTTAATCCTGATTTTACAACATACCACGGCTTTCAAAAATTCATAAGAAATGGGTAGTGCTTTACTTCTACTTCTTCTTTACGTGTGGGACAGGGAGTCCCAACTGATGCACTATCCTCACTTAAAAATGCAACGTACAACCAAGTATATTATCAACGCACCGGCCATTCTGTCAAAGAACTCAACCTCATCCTGACCAAACCAGGAAGCCTAGGACTTTGCCGTTGGAACACTGGCAGCATATTGGGCTACCAATCCTACCTAAATACCTAAGCTTGTCTACGACCCTACGAACCCTGAACCCTTACTGTTGGACACGGGACGATGCGAGTCGGCTAAGGCAGCATACTGAGCGACCAATCCTAGGATCCTTAAGTCTGCGACCTGACGAATCCCAGGACACCAGAACCCCAGGCAGGTCCCATGGACCCCAGGACCCTTCCTTACCGCATTGCCGTTGGACACGGGGCGATGCGAGTCAGCTAAGGCAGCATACTGCGCGACCAATCCGAGGTCCCCGTCTACGACCCGACGAACCCTGAACACTCACCGCATTCCCGTTGGACACGGGACGATGCGAGTCAGCCAAGGCAGCATACTGCGCGACCAATCCGAGGTCCGCATGTCTACGACCCGACGAACCCTGAACACTTACCGGGACGATGCGAGTCAGCTAACGCAGCATATTGCGCGACCAATCCGAGGTCCGATTGTCTAAAACCCGACGAAACCCAGAATCCTTGTCTTCTCTTCTTATACCTTCTGTCAACAAAATCAGCCTTATCCTGACTATACCAGAAAGCCTGGGACTTACCGCATTGCCGTTGGACACAGGACGATGCGAGTCAGCTAAGGCAGCATACTGCGCGACCAATCCGAGGTCCGCATGTCTACGACCCGACAAAACCCAGAACCCTGATGTCTTGTTATGACTTCGCCTTACTTACCGCATTGCCGTTGGACACGGGACGATGCGAGTCAGCTAAGGCAGCATACTGCGCGACCAATCCGAGGTCCGCATGTCTACGACCCGACAAAACCCAGAACCCTGATGTCTTGTTATGACTTCGCCTTTCTTACCGCATTGCCGTTGGACACGGGACGATGCGAGTCAGCTAAGGCGGCATACTGCGCGACCAATCCGAGGTCCGCGTGTCTACGACCCGACGAACCCTAGGGCCCCAGTACCCCAGACTGGACCCTCAGACGCCAGGACCCTTACTTACCGCATTGCCGTTGGACACGGGACGATGCGAGTCAGCTAAGGCAGCATACTGCGCGACCAATCCGAGGTCCGCGTGTCTACGACCCGACGAACCCTGAACACTTACCGCATTGCCGTTGGACACGGGACGATGCGAGTCAGCTAAGGCAGCATACTGCGCGACCAATCCGAGGTCCGCATGTCTACGACCCGACGAACCCTGAACACTTACCGGGACGATGCGAGTCAGCTAACGCAGCATATTGCGCGACCAATCCGAGGTCCGATTGTCTAAAACCCGACGAAACCCAGAATCCTTGTCTTCTCTTCTTATACCTTCTGTCAACAAAATCAGCCTTATCCTGACTATACCAGAAAGCCTGGGACTTACCGCATTGCCGTTGGACACAGGACGATGCGAGTCAGCTAAGGCAGCATACTGCGCGACCAATCCGAGGTCCGCATGTCTACGACCCGACAAAACCCAGAACCCTGATGTCTTGTTATGACTTCGCCTTACTTACCGCATTGCCGTTGGACACGGGACGATGCGAGTCAGCTAAGGCAGCATACTGCGCGACCAATCCGAGGTCCGCATGTCTACGACCCGACAAAACCCAGAACCCTGATGTCTTGTTATGACTTCGCCTTTCTTACCGCATTGCCGTTGGACACGGGACGATGCGAGTCAGCTAAGGCGGCAGATGCGGCACTGCGCGCCGCCTCCGGTCCGCGTGTCTACGACCCGACGAACCCTAGGGCCCCAGTACCCCAGACTGGACCCTCAGACGCCAGGACCCTTACTTACCGCATTGCCGTTGGACACGGGACGATGCGAGTCAGCTAAGGCAGCATATTGCGCGACCAATCCGAGGTCCGCGTGTCTACGACCCGAGGAGCCGGCGCCGCGCGGTGACGTCGGACAACTGTTTGCCGCGCTTATTGTGCCTGGAACAATAAAACAGTAGGTTGAAATTATACAGTAGAAGAGCTTCATGATCTGCTTTGTTTCACTGTTTTTGGGGAAGCTCGCTCCATCATGTAACGAGTAAGACACAAGTTTGCCTTTTATTTTTAAATAATATAGGCCAGAATTTGTCTGCTATTTCACCTGTCGGTAAGTGGCTAGAGACTCCATTCTAGTAAAGTCCACCATTCAACAGCTTGCTTTGTTCCTTAGTATAAAAAAAAACCGGCCAAGAGCGTGTCACACACGCCCACAAATAGGGTTTCGTAGTCAACGTTTAAATATCAGGTTTTTCAGCATTACAAACTTAATTTGGTTGCTGGTTTGTTAGCAGCAGTATGATGACCAACCGCAAATAGAAAAACTCAATTTTTTCTGAAACCTTTACGGGTACGATATCTGTTATAGTTTTCATTGTAACTTCAGATTGTAAGCTATATTCCATATTTATTTCAAATTTTTAGCGTTTATACTTTAGAAGATACAGCTGGAACAAATTATGGGTCAAAAACGCCCTTTTTAAAAGCAAATATCTCGTGACAGAAACATTTTAGAGAATTTGTTGAGAAACATTGTAGACAGACAGACATGACGAAACTATAAGGGTTTCTAGTAGACTACGAAACCCTAAAAATGTGGTAGGTGAAGAAGCAGATAAATGCAGACTATCAAATCATAGTCATAATATAGCAGCTATACCTGTGGGTGAAGGCACAGGGCTACGGCCATCG